GAACTGGATTTCAAAAAGCAGTAAAAAATGATACTTTAGCATCTATGAGGTCTTAAAAGAACTTATCATCTCATCTGGTGGGGATCGTCAAAACTGACACCTTACTTGCAAGGACTTTATTATCTTAGTTATTTCACAAGTCTATGACCTAAAACCCTAATTTTTACTGTACAAACAAGTCACTTGCTTCTCTAAAAAATAAGCTAGAAAGCAAAATAACATTGACTGCACATAGGAAGCTATCATGAAACTTGAAGTTCCACCTGAACAGGAGTAGGACTTACTAATTACCCAGGATCTAAATGCAAATCAATTCATATAAACGTACAGCCCTTTTTGGGCACATCATTTAAACAATAATCTTAAAAAATATCAACATTTCTATTTCTTCCAATCAGCTTAAAATGTCTCTAAAATGTTCTAGTTTCATTTTTATAGTAATGTTGAGCTGTTTCTTATCTTTTGGGAAATTATTTTTTCTGTAAAGGTTAAAATAGTTTGTAAAAAAAAAAAAAAAGCGAGGAGCGTTGGCATATTCAAAGAGGAGGAAAGTAAAACAAAATCACTGAGTTACTGAAGAAATGCTTATACTGTCTAAATTCCAATTATTTTGCAGAATGAGATTGAAGGGATGAAGGAGAACACGGTACTATTTTATTGTATCTTATTAATTCAGATATGAAAATGTGATTCGCCCATTGCAGAATTGTCAATTGCCAGCAGTTCAGCGGATATATAGAGATCATAAGTTCAAGCACAAGCAAGGTCTAGAAAAAACAAGTGCTAATAATAATGGCAGGCATGCAAAGGCTGTCTCGGAGGATTTGAAGCGGTATCTCTTTGCAGAATTCTTAATACTGTGGTATACTTGACCAATGAGAAAACTGTAATTGTTATCGTAAATATCACTGCCACTAGTAGGTGGTGAACGTTGATACAAAAACGAATCCTACTCATTGTCATGTTTTCATGTTATCCTTAATTAAAAACCAGATGATGTTTTTGATCAGTATTATTACTAGTATAGGCAAGAGTAGAAATTCAATCTCGCTGATGATATATCTTGTCTTAAAAGTAATGGAGCAAAAAAACAAAAGCCATTCTGAGGTAAACGAAAGCGCTAGGAATACAAACATTTTTTCCAACGCTATAGTATTACCTACCTATGCAGGTCCTATTCAGGTCCGTGAGTGTTTGAAAGGTGAGATACACTTACCTTTCAGTGCTTGCCTTGCCACTCTCCATCCTGCCTTAATTTTGACTCTCAACACGGAAGTGCCTCTAGTGACTGTTTGGGAGGACAGCCACTAGAGGTGCGTTAACCCTACAATGGTAATATTACAGTTTCTATAAAACTGTAATGTTTTACATTGCAGGGTTTAAACAGAAGGGCCACAGCACCTATACCACTTCATCAACAATGTTTACTAAAAAAGAAATAAACCAAAAAAAGTTATGTGGCAGTTTTTCATTGTCCTTAATTCTGCTGTACTAAAAAGCTATAACTATTGTGTAGCTGGGCTCTCAGTAAGAATACCCCAGTGTTTCATTAGTTCCATACTGCCACAGATTTGATGTAAACCCGTTATGACATTGTCTTACTTTCAAATATACTCAGTATGTATATGTACACACTGTATAACATACAGGTTACCTAACACAACCAGTTTCACCTGAAATATTTAGGTTTGGACACCACAAAGACTCCACTCTACTTTTATAAGTGGTGTAGCCATTTTACTTGTAGCCTCCCCTTTCCTGGCTCTATATGCAGAGGAACTGAGGAGATCTTCTGGGGACAGAACACATATGTAGGGGTATTTGGTAAAGTGAAAATTAAAAGTAAATTCAAACAGAATTTCAAAATTAAGGGTAAATGAATTGAAATCGTAACTGAAAGATACCTTTTCTTGTTCAAATATTTTGACCTTGAATGTAAAACTAACTTTGAATTATTACTTTAGTGTATAACCCTGACAGTGTTATATTACCTTCCATGTAAAACAAGTAAATTTTTATCACTAAATTAAAATAAATTTGCCCAGTTAGGCAACGAAAATATTTAAGCAACTATATAGTATAAATCAGCTTTTGGCTGGGATTTCTTAGAAATCAGAAAATGTGCAGACAATAGAGGATCAAATGGTTCCTTTCTGAATCCTAATGCTATGCGGATACAATTTTAATAAGGAAGTGTCATTCATACTTATTGTGAATAAGCTCTGGCAATTGGTACAGAATGAGACTGTAACGTTCCTCCCTGAACAAAAACCCAACAACGTTGAAAACAGACAAAAGCCTGTATTCGTTCTCTACATTTAGGGGAATCATTGATCACTGGTCGTTTATCAATATCAATATCAATAATTTACCCAATCACTCTAATACTGTATATATTTAGTCATCAGATTCTCATTGATACTAATCAAATACTGTAGATACAACCAGTGAAGACTGAACTAAGAAATAAAATCACACCACAAAATCATACATGTGAACAAGATGCTGGGTCATTATAATAAGTTCGGTGTAATAAAGCTCCCAAGTTACACCCTCCTGGCTGGCGATCAGACAGCCAAGAGAGGTGCTCTTAGGGAGGTGCTCTTCCTTATGTTGAGAACTTGTTTAAAGTTGAAGACAATTCCTCTCTCAGAGAAGCACAGGATTCATTGCTTCTCTATGAGATATGTTCTACTGATGCAGAGCAGTGATTGCTATGCATGTGTTGAGGACCACAGTGCATGAGGCTCTCCCGTGAGTAAATCAGAGCTGTGTTGAGTAGACTGTCTCGTCACTAGAAAAGGTAAGTAATGTTTTTTTGTTTTTTCAGGAGCCCCTAAATCTAAATGGGCAACTTGAAATTCCAGCATTAGAAATTAATGTATTTATTTCTAACCCTCGAGTGCTTCTTTAAATAAGTGTTTGTGTGGTCTAAAAAAAAAAATTTATAAATCCACTACTACATTTATATCTCTGATGGATATGGGTATCTTGTTTATTATTACTATTATTTGTTGTAAGTTATATGGTATTATAATGAGGCAACCCAGCAGAAGAATGGCCAACAGGCCTACCAACAAACTTGGGATCCATTCAGAGGAATGACCTGCCTTAACTGTCACATGGCGATACTAGCATTTGCTCACAGAGTGATCAGTCAACCTGGAGCCAATCTACATAGTTATGGTTAGTGTTAGAGTTACAATAAGTGTTAGTGTCACAGTAAGGGTTAAAGTTCAGGGTGGATTCAAATAGCGACAAAGTGTGATCCTGGTCAGTGTGACATATATATATTGTTATCATTAAATAACGTATCTGGGAAGCAAGTAAAGAAGCATGTGAAAATAAGGGCACGTCTCTAATGTGACTCTATAAACTGCCCCAGACTGGGCAACTATATACATGTGGGGTATTGCTGTTGTTGGCAGCAGCAGAATACAAGTCATGGGTCTTTACAGTAATGGGACTTACATGGGCTGATAAATTAATCCTAAAAATTATATATGTTTTTGAAAATCATCAAACAATTAAATATAAACAGCAGTTGTGGCTGAGTTGGTGAAAAAATGGTTAAGTAAAAAACTACTGATATTTAAAGGGACCCTATAGTCACCAGAACAACTACAGCTTAATGTAGTGGTTCTGGTGAGTATAGTCAGTCCCTGCAGGCTTTTTGCAGTAAACACTTTTCAGAGAAAATGAAGTGTCTACATTGCTACCAAGGAACACCTTCAGTGCCCACTCCTCAGATGGCCACTCCTCACATTCAGTGTCTCTGCCCTCTGCATGGAGATACTGAACTTTCCTCACAGAGATGCAGTGATTCAATGCATCTCTATAAGAGGATGCTGATTGGCCAGGGTCAATGGCGGATCCAGAGCCTGATCTCGGGAGGGGCACTTGTAGATTATTTAACGAAATAATTCAGACACAATAACCACTACAGCTCAGTGTAGTGGTTATGGTGGCAATAGTGCCGGGACCCCCTCCCAGAGTAAGTAGTCAAACCATTTAAGAACAGTTTAACAACTTACCTGAGGTCTGCTGGGAAATGGGGCTGTAATAGGGCATAGAAGCAGTGGTGTGTGTGAGTGATGCAATGTGTAAGGGGTGAAAAAAAGGGTAGCAAGAGAGGTGAGGACGGGCAACAGCTCAAATAGCCTGCCCTTGTGTGGGTCCCCGCTCAGATCTCAAGCTGGTTGTGTAAGGGGTGCAGTGTGTGTGTGTGTGTCTGAGTGAGGGGTGCAGTGTGTGAGCAGTGTGTGTGTGTGTGTGTGTGTGTGTGTGTGTGTGAAGGTTGCAGTGTGTGAGTGAGGGCGGCAGTGTATGTCAGAGGTGCAGTGTGTGTTGGGGGGCAGTATATGTGTGGGTCAGTATATGTGTGTGACAGTTGCAATGTGTGTGTGTGTGAGGACTGCAATGTATGTGGGAGTGTGGGGCAATGTGTGTGTATGAGGGGGCAGTGTATGTGTAGGGCAATGTACGTATGGGGGCAGTGTGTGTATGGGGGGCAGTGTATGTGTGGGCAATGTGTGTATGGGGCAGTGTATGTATGGGGGACAGTGTATGTGTGTGGGTGGCAATGTGTGTATGGGGCAGTGTGTGTGTGGGCGCAGTGTGTGTGTGGGGGCAGTGTGTGTGTATGGGGGCAGTGTGTGTGTATGGGGGTAGTGTGCGTGTATGGGGGCAGTGTGTTTATGGGGGCATTGTACATGTGGGGGGCAATGTGTGTGTGTAGGGTGTGTGTGTGTGATAAAAAGGGTAGGGGGGGCTTTTTTATAATATGTGTTTGTTTTTTAATTTAATTAAAACAAATATACATTATGTCCCCCCCCCTTCTTACCTTTACTGAGGGAGGAGGGGGGACATTTCTCAATCCCTGGTGGTCATTGGGGAATCCCTGGTGGTCCCAGTGGTAAGAGTGAACTCTAGCCCGTAGCTCCAGGGCTAGAGTTCACTCTCGCGAGATCCGGAGCATTGCCGTGGTAACCGCGGTAACGCTCCGTGCTCACGAGAGAAAGACCCGGAGGAGCTGCAGGCTGAGCTGTCGGGTCCTCTCTCCCTCCCCTGCTGGCTGCCAGCACAGTCCCTGTGGACCGGGAAGGGGGATCTCTGATCTCCCCTCCCATCCGTGAAGGCACATTGCAGGGCCGGCGCCTGCATATGCTGGCAGGGAAGAGGGAGACCTTTGGTCTGCTTGGTTTTCTTGGGGTGGGGGGGGGCAATTGCCCCCCCTGGACCTGCCACTGGCCAGGGTAGCATTTCGTTCCACCCCCTGCCCACCTCCTTGGCTGAGATAATCACAAATGACAATTTTAGCCAATCCAATGCTTTCCTTTGGGAAAGCATTGTGAGTAGCTAAGATCATCACTTAGGCAGATCAGGGGCAGGAGTGGGGATGCTTTTACACACTGTGCAGCTCTGGATTAGGAAGCACCTCTAATGCTGTCACTAGAGTTGGCATAAGGTAACAATATAAACACTGTCTTTTCTTCGAAAAGGCAGCATTTAGACTGAAAAGTCTGCAGGCACAGGCTATAGATTTTGGTGCTGAAACTTTTACTTTAAAGACCACATGTGAGACATCTATAGCTCAGTGAAATGTTTTTTTTCTGTTTTTTCTTTTCTGCACAAATATTTTTGGATTTCAGTTTTTCCAGTAAGAGGCTCATCTTGTTGATACGTACTCTAACAGACTACAAAGGATGAATGGCAATGAGGAAAATGTGTTACAGGAAGAGGAGGAGGGATGCAATGTATGCAATGATAGTGGAATTAGAGGGTACTTTTAAATACTTGAATCTAGTTATGCTGGAAATTAATTAAATTATGAATTTAAAAACAGGCCATCTAATTGAATTAGCCAGAAGCAGACCCTTGTGTGCTTCATTTAATATGCTTATATCCGCACAGCAATGTTACAGCTTGGGGTTGGGTATATTGTCTGCGTTGTACGGATCTTCTGTGCTAAAACTGATTCCAAATATCAGTTCAATATATTCTCTGTATAATTCTTCCACTGTTCCAATGGTGAGATCATAACATGGACCCATTTTCATAACACAGGGTATAATAAATTCAGTAATACAATAAATAGACTTGACAAAGTGAGGGTCTGCAAAAACATGTCATTCTAAAATTATATAATTAAAAAAAAAAAAAAAGGTAAGCAAGATACTATTTTGATTTGTTATTTTACATCTCTATCACTGGTATAAATAGAAACTATACTATGGCTGGTTTTGGCCAATGGTCCATTTGGATCATAGACCATGTTTCGGTCCAAAAAAAGCTATGTTTTAAAACAGGGTCCATTGCTAAGGGTATCTGAAGGAATGCAAAAGTAAGCACAATGGCAGTTTGTGCTCATTGGCATGTCAAGCTGGGAACTCTGGGATAGCTGTGGAAACAACATTACTTGAGTTTCTATGTCCAAGAAGCACCCCTCAAATTCAAACTTGAGATATGCAGGTGATGCATACCAGTATATTTTGTATTTGCACTGTGGGTAGTTTTATTGAGTTTAATCTCACCACAATCATGTCATTTTAGTCTTTTAAATAACCATCGTTGATTTCTGCAATCCTTTCTGGCTCTGAATGACCCGTATTCTTCAGCACTCTGTGCAGTTATGTAAATTAATGAGGTACTACATGAAGTGCCATTTAGTAGTCTTGAATTATTGTTTCAGGCTGATGATGATCAGTAAAACAGTGTCTACAATACATGTTGCAAAATGCGACATTTCCCATTTGGATCTAAGTTACTTGATAACACTGCAGTAACATATCCCTGCACTCCTACTTGACAGCCAAAACCTTCTGTAGTGAGCAAAACAGCATACATTCTGTTACGCAATTCAAACAAAATGGCTGTCTGTTCTGTCCGTTCAAGGAACTGAGTGCATTATAACATACATGGGTTAGCTGACTTAGTTAAATAGACAGGAGACGTGACATGTCCCTGTTTGATACTGTAAAATCAGATAAGAAAGAAAGGTCCACTTTGAGTGCATATTGAGCATCTAGCTTCTCTACTGAATTATAAAAATCACAGATACTGACCTTGTCTTGTTGAGCACAGATTAGCAATAACCAACAATAAAACAACAGGAAAACATACATTCTATAAATCAATAAAACAAAATAACTCAAGGAGTTCTTACATGTTATTGTTTAAAATTAAAATTAAAATACCTGTGATAACATTTTGTTAAAAAACTTTATATACAGAGAACTGGCATTTAGGACCAAACCAACATCCTGCACAGCAGCAATTTGCCCAGTGGGCTCAAAGCGCGGTGCGCTAACCAACAGCCCATAGGTCCCACTTACACTGTCTGATGGATGTATACTTGTATCACCGGCTGACAGCAAAGGATACAGGGAGTCAGGGATTATTTCATGTAACACTCTATCACTGTAGAAAGGTTTATGTGCAGTATCTGGAAGAAAACATTTTTTCATGCTTTACATGCAAAAAAAGAGTAGCTACTGTCTTTCCCTGAAAATAAGACCAGGTCTTATATAAATTTTCCCCCCAGAAGGGAAGGTGGGGGGGGGGGGTTAATATAAAACCCAGTATTGTATGTAAGTATGTATGTCTGTCAGTATATATGTATGTCTGTATGTATGTATGTATGCATGTATGTCTGTATGTATGTCTGCATGTATGTCTGCATGTCTGTATGTATGTATGTATGTATGTATGTCAGTATATATGTATGTCTGTATGTATGTCTGCATGTCTGTATGTATGTATGTATGTCTGCATGTATGTCAGTATGTCTGTATGTATGTATGTCTATATGAATGTATGTCTGTATGTATGTGTCTGTATGTGTGTGTATGTATGTACAGTTGCAAGAAAAAGTATGTGAACCCTTTGGAATGATATGGATTTCTGCACAAATTGGTCATAAAATGTGATCTGATCATCATCTAAGTCACAACAATAGACAATCACAGTCTGCTTAAACTAATAACACACAAAGAATACAGAGAAAGGGCTGCGCTTAAAAAATACTTAAAAAGTGTTAAGAGTCCAGATAAAATGAATGAATAAAAAAAGGGGAAGAAGATCTTATCTGGCAATGTCCGTAGTATTTGGTCCGGAACAGTAATCTTGTTTTCTATCTTCCTTATGGGCCGTCTCGTATGCAAGAGATGAAAACAAATACAGAACCCAAATGGTGTAGTATATCTTGATAAAACGGAAATTAAAATATAAAACTTGAATGTAAACTCACATTTCCAAGAGCTAGAACCTGCTCTGGTGTAACGGGCGTACAGCGGTTTAGATCCCCGCTTATGGGATATAGAATGCTTGTCCTTCACGTGCCTCTTCCTTCCGTGGTGTGGGAGATACTCAGATAAAAAGAGACAACTAATAGTGCTCTCTGCGTAAAACTTAAGATAAAATATAAAATAAAATAAAAGTGGATACTCACAAGACAGGAGCAGGTCAACTGCTCCTGATATATCACGCTGGTGGAATAATCCCCACCTAGGATTGCTTGGAGTCCAACGAATGGTGCCAGGTAATAAGAATAAATATATGTGTATAAAAGGATAGGTGGTACAATAAAAGGTTACCAAATATACTTTAATTATAATAATACACAATATAAAAAAACCATAAACGCGTTTCGCCAAACGGCGTTATCAATATGGGTAAAGAACCTGATACCTGGCAGTGGATCATTTAAATAGCATGTACAAACAATTCAAAAATTGGCGCCAAAATTAGGACAGCCAATCAGATTGCAAGTTAAAAATACATATAATAAAACACAATTAAAACAGTAAAAAAGAGGTACATAAGTATAGACATAAAAATAAATATTCTTGATATATAGTTGAACATTAAAAAAGATCCTTGTTTGATAAAGTATATTATGTGGTGCATGGTCACATGACCGGCATATAATAGGACACAATTAAAATAATAAAAAGGAGGTACATAAGTGTAGACTTAAGGATAAATATTCTAGATATGTAATTGAACATTAAAAACGATCCTTGTTTAATAAAATATATTATATGATGCGCGGTCACATGACCGGCATTAGAACCGAAGTGGATAATGGGATATGTAGTATGACGCCGGCCGGCACTGCGCAGCCGCCGGCGTCATATGGGGGGACTCATTCCTTTTTTTAATTTTAATTAATCTTTTTATTTTAGCCGGTCATAGCCCGCCCACTTTTATGTTTCCATGACGACGGCTGCAGCATTGTGCTAGCCGTCGTCTACCCACTTCCTGATGACGACGGCCACTGCCGAGTGCGTGCCGCCGTCATCGGGACGCCCGCCCCTCCATTCGACGTCAGCCGCACCACGTGCGTGCTGACGCCGACTTTCCCCGCCCACTGGCGTCTGGCCGCACCTCCTATGCGTGCAGATGCCAGTTGCCAGTCCCCCCATATGACGCCGGCGGCTGCGCAGTGCCGGCCGGCGTCATACTACATATCCCATTATCCACTTCGGTTCTAATGCCGGTCATGTGACCGCGCATTACATAATATACTTTATTAAACAAGGATCGTTTTTAATGTTCAATTATATATCTAGAATATTTATTCTTAAGTCTATACTTATGTACCTCCTTTTTATTATTTCAATAATGTTTCAATTGTGTTTTTATTATATGCCGGTCATGTGACCGTGCACCACATAATATACTTTATCAAACAAGGATCTTTTTTAATGTTCAATTATATATCCAGAATATTTATTCTTATGTCTATACTTATGTACCTCTTTTTTATTGTTTTAATTGTGTTTTATTATATGTATTTTTTACTTGCAATCTGATTGGCTGTCCTAATTTTGGCGCCAATTTTTGAATTGTTTGTACATGCTATTTAAATGATCCATTGCCAGGTATCAGGTTCTTTACCCATATTGATAACGCCGATTGGCGAAACGCGTTTATGTTTTTTTTATATTGTGTATTATTATAATTAAAGTATATTTGGTAACCTTTTATTGTACCACCTATCCTTTTATACACATATATTTATTCTTATTACCTGGCACCATTCGTTGGACTCCAAGCAATCCTAGGTGGGGATTATTCCACCAGCGTGATATATCAGGAGCAGTTGACCTGCTCCTGTCTTGTGAGTATCCACTTTTATTTTATTTTATATTTTATCTTAAGTTTTACGCAGAGAGCACTATTAGTTGTCTCTTTTTATC